TATTTACAAAGTTAATGTCTTCTTGGGGGATTCTTCCCTTGAGTATTATGAAGTGACCTTCTGGGTCTCTCTTTATGGGCCTCTTTTTGAAGTCTGTTTTGTCTGATATGAGAATTGCTACCCCAGCTTTTTTTCTTGTCCGTTTGCTTGGAAAATTTGTTTCCAGCCTTTCACTTTCAGTCTGTGATGTTCTTTTGTCCTGAGATGGGTCTCTTGTAGGCAGCATATGTGAGGGTCATGCTTTCTTACCCATGCAGCTATTCTGTGTCTTTTGATTGGAGCATTTAATCCATTTATGTTTAAGGTTATTTGTTAAAATATTTTATATGCTTTTCTGTGTTGGACTTTACTTTGGTGATCATTCTATAGCAGTACAGAAAGAGCTCCTTTGCCTTTTTTTATAGCCACAGAAAATTTCCTTATATGGATGTACCTAACTTAGTCCCCTATTTTGCACATCCATGTTGCTTTCTACCTTTTATTATAAGCAATGTGTGTGAGTAATATCATTACACATACATCATATACCCTTAATGCAAGTGTATCTGAAGAATAAATTCCCAGGAGAACTGCTTGGTTGAATAAAATATACATTTGTAATTTTGTTAGATGCTGAAATATTGCCACACCTAGAGGCTATACCTATAAGTGCCAGAATACTCATTTCCCTCACACTCTTACCAACATAGTTGTATTACCAAACTTTGGGATCACTGCCAATGAAATAACTGAAAACTACCATCTTGGACTGGTTTCACTTTGCATCTTTCTATAAGTGAGAATGAACAATTTTGAATATTTAACAATCATTTTTATTTCCTTTTCTATACTCTGTTTACATCCTTTCCCAACTGTACACTGAGTAGTTGGTCTTTTTCTTATTATTTATTGGAACTATTTATAGATTAGGGAAATGAGCCCTTAATCTATAATATGAATTAAAATTATTTTTTTTCAGTTTGATGAGTAAAGAACTTTTTATCAAAGCATAAAATACCTATGAAAAGTATATGTAAGTGTACAACTCAATGAATTTGCACAATATGAACACATGTGTAGACACATCAACACTCTACATCAAGAAATGAATCACTGACAGCACCCAAAAGGTTTCTGGAGCTTCTTTCTGACACTATATGCCTTTTCCACAGTAACCACTACCTTTGCTTCTTACTTCACAGAGTAGAGTATGTTTGAACTGTACACAAAAAGAATTACATAGTACGCATTCTTAGCCTTATTTTATTCAACATATTTATGAAATTCATCCACACTACAAGTGGTTATACATCATTCATTCCCACTGCTACATAGCACTGAAATATATGAATAAAAACAATCCATTTCATTCCACTGTTAATGGGAATTTTGGAGTTTCTAGTGTAGAACTAAGGTATTCATATACAGTTCTGCTACAAACATTTTTAGTATATGTCTTTGATGCATATATACACCTCATATACTGGGTATATATACTAACTGGGTCATAAAGTATAAAGTTTATAAATTTCATCTTCACAAGATACTGCCAAACAAGTTTGCATAATGTTTTTATTAATTTACACTGTCACCAGCAACACCTAAGAAATCCAATACCACTGACTTGACAAAATCAATATTCACTACCAATGTGCACCCTAGTCCTTTCTAAATCAAGATATCATTGAATAAGCTCTAACTGTAGCTTTACCTCCAATTTCTGAATCATATTTCCAACTACCAAATATTCCCCACTCAAAACACAATCATCCGAAGTTCTAGTTTCTTCCCCATCTCATTTAATAGTATCGGCATTCCCCCAAATAACAGATCACCAATCTCAATCTTTTCTTGACTCTACTATCCACTGAAATCCAGCCACAAAATTCTAACCATTCTATCTCCACATCCTTAATTAGCTACTTTCTTTTCATTCTCACAATGACACCTAGATTTCTAAAACACCCTAAGGCATCTCTCATTCACCTGATCGTTGCTGCCAGAGGACTTCCAAAGCAACTTGGAAAAGCAACTCATCAGTGGTTCCCTACTACTTACCAAACAAGCCCTGTATTTTGGGGTAATCAAAGCTCTACACACTCCCAAACCCTACTGTTCCCCTTCAGCTTCCTTTCACCATCTTATACAGCCCTCCCATTTGCATATCTTCCCATAAATGCCAGCCACATTAAACTATTAATCACTTTCAAAACATATCCATGCTTTCTCATCTCATTCTCTTTCAGTGGGTTTCCATTCCATTTGAAATTTCTAACACACCCAAATATTTACTTCTTGAAACTTTACTTCAAAAACAACCTATGTGAAATCCTTCTACTACCTACTCAAGAATAAGTTATTTCACTTCTAAACTCCAAAGCATTTTACTTGTATATTTTTAAAGTATATTTGATTGATTATGCTATTACAGCCATCCCAGTATTTTTCCCTTTTATCCCACTCAAATCTGCACCCACCCTCCCACCAGCATTCCATCTTCCTTAGTTCATGTCCATGGGTTGCACATGTAAGTTCCTTGGCTACTCCATTTCCTATATGATTCTTAACCGTCCACTGCCTCCTTTGTACATACCAATTATGCTTCTTATTCCCTGTACCTTCCACCTGCCCCATTCTCGGCCTCCCTCTCTAAACTGATAACCACCATGTGATCTTCATTTCTGTGATTTTGTTCCTCTTCTAGTCATTAACTCAGTTTTTAAGGTTCAGTTGTTAATATCTGTTTGTTGTCATTTTACTATTCATAATTTTTAATCTTTTTCTTAGAGAAGTCCCTTTAACATTTCATATAGTAAGAGTTTGGTAATGATGAACTCCTTCATTTGTTAAAAATAGATTTATTTCTTTTTAGACAGAGGGGGAAGATGGGAGAAAGGAAGAGAAACATCATTGCGTGGTTGCCTCTCAAGCACCCCCTACTGGGGACCTGGCCTTCAACCCAGGCGTGTACGCTGATGGGGAACTGAACCAGCAACCCTTTGGCTCACAGGCCCATGCTCTATTCACTGAGCTACATCAGCCAGGACTTCAACTCCTTTAACTTGACCTTATCTGGAAAGCACTTTATCTGCCCTTCCATTCTAAATTATAGCTTTCCTGGGGTTAGTAATCTTGGATGTAGGTCTTGGCCTTTCATGACTTTGAATACTTCTTTTCAGCCCCTTCTTGCATGCAAGGTTTCTTTTGAGGAATCAGCTTATGGGAACTCCTATGTAGGTAACTGTCTCCTTTTCTCTTGCTGGTTTTGAGATTCTCTCCTTATCTTTAATCTTGGGTAATGTATTTATGATGGGCCCTTATGTATGGTTCCCATGGTCCCAGAATTTCCTGGGAATTCTTTGAGACTCTCTCAGCATCCTGGATGCACATGTCTAGTTCCTTGGTCAGTTTAGAGCAGTTTTCCTTCATTATGCTTTCAATTTCTAGGTTTTCTTCTTCTTCTGGCTACCTTGTCATTTGGATGTTGGAATGTTTAAAGTTTCCCCAGAAGTTCCTAAGCCTCTCCTCATTTTTTGAATTCTCGTTTCTTCATTCCATTCTGGTCAGATGTTTGTACTTCCCTTTTGTTCCAAGTCGTTGATTTTAGTCCTGGTTTCCTTCCTTTCCCTGTTGGTTCCCTGTGTATTTTCCTTTATTTCACTTTGTATAGCCTTCACTTCTATTTTGCAGCCATACTCAATCATTTCTGTGGGCATCCTGATTACCGGTGTTTTGAACTCGGCAACTGATAGGTTGTCTATCACCTCATTGCTTAGTTCTTTTGATGGTGTTTTCATTTGTTCCTTCATTTTGGCCTTATTTCTTTGTCTCTATGCACCTGTTATGTTTGAAGGGACAGAGCCTTAGGTATTCGTCAGTGTCGGACAACCTACTTGGCTCTGTCACAGCACATATGTAGAAGATGTCAGAGAAGGAACTGACCAGTCAGAGCTGCTTGCTCCGCTCTCACCCTACTTTCTGTCACCTCTTTCACTTCCCACAATCAAATTGCGACTTTGCAGGTGCTGATTCACAGGTGGGTGAGCTTGTGTACATTCTAGGATCTCACAGGCCTCTCCAAAGGACTCTCCTGTGAGACTGGGAGTTTCTAACCCCATCACAACCCCCACAGATTTTTACAGCCAGACTTCATGAGGCTTTATTTCCTCGAACTGGGACCTTGGGTTGGGCTTTTTGTCTCACTCCCCAGTTGTCCCTCCCAGCCAATCTGTACACAAATGTGGAAAATTCTGTCCAACAGCTACCACCTTGCTGCACATCCTCTCTGTCCCATCTACCCGTATCCACCCGTCCTAATGGTCTGAATGAATGTTTCTTCTTTAACTCCTTCTGTGTCAGACTTCCACACAATTTTATTTTCTGGCACTACTGGTTGTTTTCTGTTATCCATTTTTTTGTTGTGCGATGAAGCAAAGTGCTTCTACCTAGGCTTCCATCTTGGCTGGACTGTTTTGTATTTCTTATGGTGCTGCTGTTTTGTATTCTTGTCTTATCCTTCTTAGCTGATGGACAGTTTCTTAATGACAGAAAAATGCCTTATCTCTGTACTCACACATCATCAGATGTTTCAGAGTTCAGTACAAGGAGCTGTTAGAATACCTTCTTTCTCCAGAACATAATGAGCCTATTAAAAGTAAGACTTGACTTGACAGGCCACTGCATGCTTTCCTCATCCCCAGTTCAGAAGTATTAGGGATCAGAGGCCTTAGCAGCCCAGCAACATATCATATATTTTGCAGACCTACTACAATTTTCCATTGACTGTTATTCCACAAAGTTCATTTATGTTCTTAATATGCTCATCCTTTGATTCACTGTCCCTGCATAAAGAAAGGTCTCAGCTTACTCTGTAATGATTAGCATTAAATTAAATCTTTGTGCCTACAAAAAAAGTGAAGAGGTAACTATTGTATATTCCAGAAAGGATTTGATATGACTATTAGAACACCAACAGAAACCAGGAAAATGGTACAATGAAGTGGTTATCAATAGACACTTACAACCAGTTCTGAAGTCTTCATTCATCTCATCAGTTAAAGGCATATTTAAATCTTGCTCTTCATTAAAGGATGTGTAATAGGCAAGGTCAGTGACCCAACTACCTTCTTCATCTTGATAAACCACACTCTGTGGTAGATCAGATTCTAAAAAAAGAACAAATTCCAAAAATATCCAATGATTTTTATAACAAGTAAAATGACATAACATTCTTAAAGTTTTATTTAGTTGCCTTATCTTAGTTATCCACGGTACTAAAATCTGCCCAAAACTAGTTAAAAAAGGGAAATTCATTTCCCCCAAAGAAAAGTATCTGATGGTGGATAAACCAGTCTTAACTACTGTAAAAGTCTCCAATGGAGATTTCGGGGAAAAAGAAAGAGATGACTTACAAAGGTATATTTGGACCAGTTCTGTGACTAAAGATACCATTTTTATTTTTTATTATTTATTTATAGTGAAAATTTTTTATATTCAGAACTAGCCAGCTGAATTCAGTTATTATCCCAATTTTGTTGGCACGATCCATAGTTGGCTGCCTGCCAAAAATGTGTCCTTCTCTCTATCAGGCCTAACGAGGGTGCTGGCTATGACAGTGCCATAGAGCTTCTTCATAGCATCTTTGATCTGGTGCTTGTTGGCCTTGACATCCCCAATGAACACAAATATTCCTCTATCTTCTTCATACCTGACTTGGTAGTCAGAGGGAACTTAATGATAGCACAGTGATCAATCTTGTTTCTCCTGGGGGTACTCTTACAAAGATATTTGGGCTGTCTCCCAAGCCACAGTATCTTGGGCTCTCAAAAAGTGAGTGATGTGTGGATCTTCATTTTTTGTGTCTGTGGTCACCTTTCAGCATTGCTTCTTTGCCTCCAAACCCTTTCCTTTGGATTCTACTTTGAGAGGGGCAGGGGCTTCCTTCTTCACTTTCAGTGCAATATTCATTTTAAAGATACCATTTTTTAAATTCATAAAATATATAAATATTTTAATATGAAGATTAGGCAAGTTCCTCTTAGAAATATATTCTATTCCAAAAAAAAAAAAAAAAGAAGAAATATATTCTATTCAAAACACACACACACACACACACACACACACACTCACACTCACATTTTATATATTTCTTAACTTTTATTTTTTTAAAAAAGAAGCCAACTTATGGTCTTTACTCTTTTCAACAGACTCATAATATTCACATGTTTGTTTTTTACTAGTTGGTGACTGGAAAATAGTGGAATTCATTCTTTTGTCACTAATGGGATTCAAAGATGCTAGATTCATATTGTTTTGAATAAACACTTGAGGAATCTCAGTGTCTGTAGCTGATGCCAAATGCTTACTTTGATGAGGAGACTCTGACTTCAGCTTGAAAGGGTTTATCAAGTCAAAATCATCTTTCCTGACATTTGTGTCATGAAAATAATCAGCATTAGGTTTTGCATTAGCAACCCTAATAGTCTTCTCCAGAACTTCTTCTCTTATGTTTTCCTTTAAAAAGCAATAAAAGAGTCTAAAGTAAGTTTTGTTTTTCATAACTCCCTCTAAGATTTTATGGGGAAAAACTATGTAGGTGACATAAAATGTTTATTATATAAAAGAACAGATTATTCAGTATACATTATATTATTCTAGATAATGTAAGACACAATGATACTCAATTTACAAAAACCAAAATTGATACTGTGGTTGTGGCAAACATAAATCAACATATTCAGGTACTGAAAGTGGGTCCAACATATTCATTTCATTACAGGATGTTAGAAACATCAATTTAATTTTTATTGTTACCACTAAATGTCTCTGCAGGATGAGAAGCCAACTAGTGTGACCAGCTTCATAAAATTAATGTGAATAACAGTCCTTCGAAACACAGATATTAACATCTTTTAATAGGAGTAAAACAGCAAATACTACAAAAGTCCCTGAGGAATCCAATGGCAATTGCATTAGAAACAGCAAATTAACTCAGTCCTTCAAGACCAAGATACTCCAACATACTTTCCAAAATGGCACTTCTTATTTATTCCTAGAATAATAACTCCTAAAAAGGGTCTCAAGTGCCTACAGTACTCTTAGATATTCAGCTATGATAAAGGCCAATAAAGCCTATAATAGCATTCTTTTTCTAAGATGTGTAAGAAAAACAGCCTCATGGACAAAGTTGGAATACTAAAAGAAGTAGTTCTTTATTAGAAAAAAGATGCTAACTTTGAAATAAAGACATAGGTTTAAATTCTAGCATCACCATTTATTAACTGGGTGATTTTCTAACAATGTTATACAAAAAATAAACTTATATTTTTACCTTGTATCAAAATAAATTCCATATGGCTTATAGGTTTAGATGTAAAAGTACTAGGAGAAAATAAGGGTGGATAATTTTGTATTCTTCAGTAAATAACATCTTTTAAGTGTTAACACTCTCATGGGTTAAACTGTGTCTCCCAAAAAGATATGCTGGAGTCTTACCAAGGTACCTGTAAATTGAGACCTTACTTGGAAACAGGGGGTTTGCAGATATAATTAAGGGTCTTGAAATGAGATCATTCTGGATTTAGAATGGGCCTTAAACCAAACAAGTAGTGTGTACTTGACCCTTGAACAACGCAAGTTGGAACTGCGCAGGTCCACTTATATAAAAAATTGTTTTCAACCAAATACATAGTCAATGTTCCATATCCCTGGGTTTCATTAACACCCATGGATTTAATCAATCAAAAATTGAATACAATGTTTTTCATATACATTTGGGAACCAATTGTAAGATTTGTGAGGTACCATTTTATATAACAGACTTGAGCACCTTTGGATTTGGGTATCTGTGCAGCTCTGGAACCAATCACTGTGAGATACCAAAGGACATAGTTAAGTTAGGAAGAAACAAAAAATGATGTAAGAATTTTTTACTCTGTGGGGGGGTAGGGCTGGCACTCCAGCCTCTTCATTGTTCAAAAATCAATGTACTTGTAAGAGAGAAAACAGGAACACTTCAAGGGACACAGAAGGAAAAGCCATGTGAAGACAAAGGTAGATACTGAAGTAATGCTGCCATAACTAAGGAATAGCAAGTCAACATCTTGGTTTCAGACTTTTGGCCTCTAGAACTACAAGAGAAAAAAAATTCTGTTGTGTTAAGGTAGTAAAATGTTTGGTAATTTGTATGGGCGGACCTGGAAAACAAATACAAACACTTAATAAAATGCATGAAGATGAGCAGAATGAAGACCATGTGAAGACACAAGGAGAAGACAGCCACCTAAAAGCCAAAAAGTAAAGCATAAGGAGAAACAAACCCTGACAAAACTCTGATCTTAGACTTCTCCAGAACTGTAATAAAAATAAATTTCTGTTGAGCCAAATAAAGAAATAAAATGTATAAGGACAAAATAGATCCTTAATACAGAGAGCTTCTAAAAAGAACACTTAAAATGACTATCCTAATAGAAAAAAAGACAAAAGACAAACGCCACTTAAAACTAGGTAACTGTTTTTCATAGGATACTAGCACAGATTAAAAAGAACCATAATGTGGGAAATGCTCTCTCCTCAATAAAGTGGCTTACACCAATCTCGAAGAAAGGTGATGATAGGCTCCAAAATTGCTCTACTCTTTAATGAAGTGCACTTGAACCCTTTATGTGCTGGGTTGAGAAGCCAATGGGGTAAAGCTATATACCACTTATGAGATTATAACTGAAAACCTCCAAGACATAACATAATCCAGGCAGAATGACAGGGTAATGGCATGGGGCATTGGACAGTCAACTCCCTCTCCCCACAAGCAAGAGACCATTGGTGGGAAACCTGGTGCTAAACCATTTGTAGATGACCTACTTCTGGGATGGCATTTTCTACATAGCAAAGCAGCTCTCTTGCTGTTATATATTAAAAGTTAGCCCTAGACCTGGGGTGTCAAACTCATTTTCACTAGGGGCCACATCAGTCTCATGATTGCCTTTAATGGGCCAAATATAATTTCAACTCCTTAACAGTTAAAGAGTAGTTGCATTTATACAATCTAAAATTATTTCGGCCTTTCGAAGGCTACCTCCAGGCTGATAAGGCCTCTGGAGAAAATGAGTTTGACAACCCTGCCCTCCACACTGGGATTTGTTTAAAAACATAACAAAAAGACCAATGCAGTTTCTCTAACAGTTTTTACCCAAACACAAAATAGGTCTTTTTTTAATACTTTGAAAGTTTAACTCTCAACAACAGTTAAAAATTAGGAAATCTTGACTTCTGCCAAGATGGAGGGGTAGGTGGAAGCACTATGCCTCCTCCCACAACCAAGTTTAAAAACCACAAGTTTTAGCAACAAAACCACAGCCAAAACCAAAAAAATTTGAACTTCATGGAAGTCTGACAACAAGGAAAGCTTCAGCCAAACTGGTAAGAGGGGCAGAGCCAGCAGTAGAGCGGGGTCAGGCAGGAAAGATCCAATGGCCGGACGCGGACACGTTGCAACCCAGGCACGTCAGCAGCCATAGGCGGATCCCAGGTGTAGAGAAGTGGGTGGACCCACTGAGGGCTGACTATGGTCACATATTTGCGTGCAGATAAACCGGTGAAGGAGGGAGCAGTGAGACAGACGGTGCAGGCCCCAGTAGCAGGAAGCGGCAGAGGGGACCGCCATTGTCCCTCTCTGACCCCGCCCCCACCTACAGCGTCACAAACCAGCGGCCTGGGTAGCCCCGCCCTGGTAAACAACTAAGGCTCCGCTCCTCATACATAACAGGCATGAACAGATCAAAACATGGCTCAAGAAGAACTTAGAGCCCCAGAGCTGATAAATCTAAGCCATGAAGAAATAGCAAAACTCTCAGATGCACAGTTCAAAACACTGGTGATCAGGATGCTCACAGAACTGGTTGATTTGAGTCACAAATTAGAGGAACATATGAAGGCTAAACTAATTGAAATGAATAGAAATGCACAGAAAACCAATAGTAATGGAAAGGAAACTGGGACTCAAATCAAAGGAGTGGACCAGAAAGAGGAAAAGAATGACCAAACAGAAAAGGATGTAGAAACAAGAATTCAAAAAAATGAGGAGAGGCTTAGAAACCTCCAGGACATCTTTAAACATTCCAAAATCAGAATTATAGGGGTGCCAGAAGGGGAAGAGGAACATCAACGAGTGGAAAACTTATTTGAACAAATAATAAAGGAGAATTTCCCCAATCTGGCAAAGGAAATAGACTTCCAGGAAATCCAGGAAGCTCAGAGAGTCCCAAAGAAGTTGGACCCAAGAAGGAACACACCAATTATCATTACATCACCAATTATCAAGGCACATCATCATTACATTAGCCAAGATTCAAATGCAGGAGAGAATCCTAGAAGCAGCAAGAGATAAGGGGACAGTCACCTACAAAGGAGTTCCCATCAGACTGTCAGCGGATTTCTCAAAAGAGACCTTACAGGCAAGAAGGGGCTGGAAGGAAGTATTCCAATTCATGAAATGCAAGGAACTACAACCAAGATTACTCTATCCAGCAAAGCTTTCATTTAGAATGGAAGGACAGATAAAGTGCTTCTCAGATAAGATCAAATTCAAGGAGTTCATCATCACCAAGCCCTTATTATATAAAATGTTAAAGGGACTTACCTAAGAAAAATAAGATAAAAAAGATGAATAGTGAAAGGACAACAAACTCACAGTTATTAACAACCACACCTAAAACAAAAGCAAACTAAGAGGACAGCTAGATCAGGAGCAGACCATAGAAATGTAGATCACATGGAGGGGTAGTAACAGGGGAGTGGGAGAAGAAGGGGGTAGAAGGTACATAAAATAAGTAGCATAGATGGTAGGTAGAAAATACATAGGGGGGAGGGCAAGCATAGTAGGAGAGATATAGAATCTAAAGAACTTGAGCCACATGGTCATAAACTAAAGGGGGGAATCGTGGGGGAGGGGTGTGCAGGGTCGAGGGGAATGAAGGGGAGGAATAGAACAGCTGTAATGGCATAATCAATAAAATATATTAAAAAAATTTAAAAAAATGAATTAGGAAATCTCCTAGCTTGTGTGGCTCAGTGGACTGAGCGCCAGCCTACAAACAAAAGAGCTGCCAGTTCAAGTCCCAGTCAGGGCATATGCCTGGGATGCAGACCAGGTCCCCAGTAGGGGGTAACCAAGAAGCAACCACACACTGGTGTTTCTCTCCCTCTGTTTCTACTTCCCTTCCCCTCTGTCTAAAAATAAATAAAATAAAAAAAGATTAGGAAATGTGAGAAGGGAAAAAATAAAAGCAACCTACAGGTCTCTTAGGAGGTGGGATTTCAAGAGGAGACAATCAAAGTGCAGTTTGACACTTACCAACATGCTGTTACAGGCACTAACAACTACGTAGTTGAAAATCCCCACATAACTATTGACTCTCCCAAAATTTAACTATAATCCCTTGGTATCCACAGATGATTTGTTGTAGGACACCTATGGATACCAAACTCTATGTCTGTTATACTCCTTCACATAAGTG